AATCTAGTATAAGAAAAATGCTTTTTATCTCGAACACATATACGGCAAACTTCAGCAGAAAAATGAAAAATCAGCTGAAAAATGCTTTTTCTTATGAGAAAAATGGTTTGAGAAAAATGGAAAAATGAATTCTCATATAAGAAAAATGCTTTCTGCAAAAGACTTATTTACACAGTTTTTCAGGACAGATGGAGAAATTTTTCGTAGTTGTGTTTTGTTCTTCCGGAAAAGTCATTTATAAAAATATATTTGACGCTAAGAAAAATGTTTTTGTTAGTCGCGTATTGGTATATTTGGTTAGTGAAAAGATAGTTCACTGGTTGCTCTAATTTCTAATATGAGTAAAATATACGATTCTAGTTGATGGATCATCGCGGTGAGGTGAAAATATGATATTATATAAGTAGTATTGGTGGGACCTCATTCTTTATGCTCGATTTATTGTAACTAGTGCATCACTGTCGTTTTTTTATCTAGTATGTGTTATACTGTGATCGTGTAATGTATGTCTTGGTTTGTTTTTGCCTTATGCCTAGTCATTGCTATTGTAGGATTATATCACTGCCTTATGATAACGTTGAATGCATGTGCTTGATCTCGATTAATTCTTGTTTTAGTCTTTCTATCATTTTGTTATTCTTATATAGATGCATAGTTTTTCTTATGTAAAGCATGGAGAAGATACATGTTTCGATTACGTGCAAACACAGTTTATTGGTCGCCTTCAAAAGAGCCAACGGCTAGATCACTATTATTAGCCATTTCTTTTTCTTTATTTCTACCATGTTAAGCTTTGTACGGCGTGTTCGGATCATATATAAACAGAAGACCTCGATATGCAATATGTATCGCAACAATATGCGAATGAAAAGAAAAGTAAATAATTTCTGTTTCTTTTTCTATCTATGTAAATCAACGCGAAATTTTAAAATTTATCTTCTATGTTAAAATCATTGGTTTATAAATACCTTTATCTGCCGTAATATAATAACAGTTTAAGTGCACAATAAGTTATTAATTTAAACTAGTTAGTCATATCTATTTTGAAACAATGTGACTATATTTCACTGTATTTATATTTTTGTTTTTCTCCTCTCTTACTAGCTCAAATACTGTTATAGGCTTTTCTTCCTCTTCTCTATAATTATGTATTTATTACGTTATGAAGAGAAGCCGACGAGTGAAAGAAAGAAAATTTAAAAAAATGACATGTATATTTTATTCTTCTTATTTATTTATCCTTGTGTCTATTAATCCTAACGAGAACAGTAATCTTAAATGTGAAAAAAAAAAGAAAAGATAGAAACTTTCGTCAGGTAATACTGTTCGCTATTGTAATATGTTTTTCTCTGCTGATCGAAAAGTTGGTCACTATTAACATTTAACGGTATTATCTTAGAAAATTGATGCGAATTAAAATGTTTAAAAAAAAACTGGTTAAACGGCGAATTAAACAAACAAAATAATGACTGGCTCTCAGAATGCTTCAGATGAATGTCATGATTGCTTGTGATTAACAAGATTTTTGCAGTAGTTTCAAGGTTCTCGTTAATAATACTGTCATTATACTGAACACCATTTTTCTTTCTAACATATTGTTCGTCCGCTGGAAATACTATATAAATAAGTCATGTATAGAAAGGATATTTCTCATAGTAAATACATTTATCCATTTTTCTGAATCATTTTTCTCATAGAAAAAAGC